TCCCCGCTCCCTTCGGTTTCTCGAGGCGCCCCGCGGCTTCTCCGGCCTCGCAGAGCTCCTGCGCTGCCTCAGCCTGCTGCCGGCCGGGCCCCTGCAATCAACCCCCGAAAGGTCGAAGGGTGCAAAACCGGTGGGTCGAATGGCAAGTTTGCAAAGGTGCAAGGCCGTAAGAACGAGAAGGGTGTGGGGTTCTAGTAGTGCAATCTTATTATTTGTTCGATTGTGCTACCGGGATATTCGAATATCCCTCCTCTTCTTTCGCGCCGCCCCTAGTCTGGGATGAGAGCAATTTAAGGGATATAACAAAAAGGAAGATGCACTCGCACCAAAAATAAGCAGTACCAAACCAAAACTGAAACATGCGGTTGCAGTGCGGAGCATTAACGCATGCCCCCTTGTCTTATTGACTGTGGGTGAACGAAGAAAAGCCAATGTTGTGCAATCCCTCAACATCACGGACTTGCCCAGGCAACCCTGTGAACCGAACCTGCTCATAACTTCTCCCAAACAAACACATCCTGTGAATATATCAAATGCAAGGTGAAACTTCATCACTTAGTGGTATGTTGATCCCTTGCTACTCTTCTGAGGAAACTCCTTTTGTGGGACCCTGTTTTTGGGTTCCGTGTTTGTAGGGCAAGCTTTTCGTGGGATGTCACAAGCCCTTCAACAAGTAGAAGTCGATGGCTGGAAACCACCAAGGGCCTCGCCAAATCTCACAGCCAAAGCTCAGAAGACACCGTAGAGCGAGAGCTGCAACTCCTTAAATCGAGTGGCGAAACTCCAAACCAGCATCCTAATTACCAAAAACATTTGGTAAATCATATTGATTCACAGACCGCAAATAAGATCTACACAAACTATACACAAAAATATGTGATTATTTCAATGATTCACGAAACTAAAGTTTGCCCAGAAACTATTCTCCTTTAGTTCTGTTTTAGGTTCCATGTCTGTTTTTAGGGAGGCAAAGGCATCACTGGGATTCCAACTATGATTAGACCAATGGGGGTTATTGTAACCACTATTGTTTACCCATAATGTTTCATGATGAAGGGAACCCAGCTCTTCCGCTTGCCATTTTATTAATTAGGAAATCAATGGAAAACCTGGCAAGGAACTCTGGTTTCCTACTATGGTGGTGACTGGAAGCACTGGGTATGTAAAGGATTATGTAGGGTGTCATTTTTAAGGGCTTCGTTTTGCGATTGGTTGAAAGGGGCGGGGGGGCCAAAAGTAGGGGACGTTTAAAGAGAGCTTCGGCACGTGTCCAGTGGAAGCCAACGATGGCCATCATGTAGTGACCCTGGAAGCAATGTATGAGTGAAGCTGACCCTTCACAAAATCAGATGCGACTGGTATAGGCAGGGTGCGCGGCATGCGTGCGATCAACCTACGCAGTAAATATTCGATGCGGGCAGCGTGGAATCCGTTCTCATCCCAGGCGCAGTCGCACAAGTCGGTGGAGCTTACCGAGGTCAGCATCCAGTCCATGACGCAGCGGCTTGGCTACGGACATTGCCACTAGGCGGTTTGGAATGAACAGGAGCTCAAATTCCCATGAACACGTGTGGCGTTTTTGTTCCATCATTTCTTCATTGAGCAAGTTGACACCGGCCAGCCCTGCAGGGATCAGCCGTTCTCAGATACTGCAGTATGTCCTCCCTTTTCGAGAGGAGGACATTTGCAGAAGGTGCTGCATACATCAACCTTCAAGCGAAAGGCAGTTGATGAGGCCCAGTTGCAGTGGCTCCGAGGATGCTGGCGCAGATGCTGCAGATGAGCCAGGAGGAGCAGGAGCGCCGAGGTGGGCCTCAGACTGCGCTGCTGCTGCTGGCTTTCACCAGATAAGTCTTGCCAAAGCTGGTCTGGATGCCTGGCTTCTTGGGTGTAAGGGTTGGTCATCAACCAATTGCGCAGATTTGCACAAGCACAAGGCTTACTTGGCAGGGGAACCATGACCGCGAGCCACGGCAGTTTCGATCGTGGTCCCTGTAAGCAAGGGGCAATGTAAGCGGGGCACATGGTTCGGCAGGCCCTTACCAGTGCTGCATCAGCGGGGCATTCGTATGGATGGGGTGACAACCCATCCTGGGGCTGTCTGTGGCTGGGTTTGTCTGGATCAGGTGTGAGCGCCGGCCGGGATGCCACTGCGTCGGTAGGCCGGGATGCTCCTGTCGTGTTGGGCTTGCCTTATTTTGGAAAGCTTGTGTGTGTATGTGTCCAAGTTATGCGGGATTCCAAAATCCGAGGTTCAAGGTGCTGAATGGCTTTTTCGGGTAATTATGATTGCAAAGGTGTGACTTAGCATGAATGCCAGGCTGACAGGCCAGGCGAAGTAGACCATCAGCCCCGATTAGAACTCTCCAGCTGCTTTCGCAGCTGTTTGGTAGTCTGGCTTGGATGCTACGTAAGTTCAATCTCCCAGAGGCCAACACAGCCATAAAAAGCCAAGCCAAAGGTGAGCTCAAAGTAGTGCCACCTGAACAAAGTGCGGACTCTCGAGACCAACCTCGATGACCTGCCGGCCACCTGCAGGCTTTTTGCAGCACAAGCAAGAACACACCCGTTAAACAAATGCGGGCTTTTGCAGCACGCGGATTTTGAGTCCAAAGCGCGGGCTCCAAAACCCTTGCGATGAGGATTCTCAATGCTCGAGAAGACACCTATTCCAGACTCGAGCCCCTTCCAGCGGCGCACATCACGGGGAGGGTGCGGGGTCATTCGTGTAAAAAAGAGAGAGCCCCCTTCCATCTATAAGCTTTGTGACTTTGTTCCTGGTGTTCAAGGGAAAAAAAAGGCACTTTTCCACATGTGTAGCACCAAATAGAGGCAACCCTAGGACAAAAAGAGCCAGCTAGCTTCCCAAACCGCAGGCCGGCTGCCCGAACCTCGGGCAGTGGCCATGGCGGCGGCCGCTCGGAAAGAGCCTCCCTCGTCGTTCAGTGGGGTGTCCCGTTAAGAGAAACGCTTTGGTGGGTTGGGTGGTTTGGGTTGTTTGGGTTGTTTGGTTGTTTTGCTGGGTGGTTTGGATTTTGGACTGGTTGATACCCCGTGGATGTGACATTTACCAGAGAGAGCACGGTGAACGATAGGGGGCTGATGTGATGCACGCTCAAGATGTGGACCTTCGAACTTGTGGTCGCTTTGTTGTAGTGGGGATGATGACGGTTTTCTCATACATACTGCGGATCGATGTTCTCGTCGTCATGCCAGTCAGCTGGCGGATGGAAGCCCTGCAACATCCGGGTGGTTTCGCCAAAGCCCAGGTGCTTTCAGTTTGTTTTAACAGGGCAACATTCCGAAGCATTGTTCTTGGACCTTTTCTCCAATGATCATTCAAGGACATCATGTAGACAGCATGAATCAGTCGTGTCGTAAACTTCCTTCGGCAGCCGCATTCCAACAATCTGGGCCACAGGGAGAGGAAACTGCATGTGTACCAAGCCTCCTTCCCATCATGGAAGTGGAATTGGGGGGCCTTATGATGATGGTCTTCAAACAACCAGTGCACTTCGATGGTTGGAAAGAGGGTACTCTGCCCACACACATAGCACCTGGTGGGTTCCATCATTGGAAAGGGGCTACTTGTCTTGTTCGCAGGGCTTAGCCAGTCCTGGCACCCAGATTCCTGGTAGGTTGGCAGGTGGTTCGGTTCCGGAGATGCTCCTCGGGCTTCTCCCGGGTTCGCTTCGAGGCGGCGCTGGCACAACTGGGCCGCCTGGAGGAGGACTTGCTGATGCTGCTGGGCCGCTCCGTAGGCGCACGCGGGGCTCGGGGGACACGGGGGGCGACAGTGTCAAAGGTCCCCTTTTTGCGTCTTCAATCCTGGGACCGGCGCAGTTTTCTTGGGGTTCCCCCCAAAAGTCGTCCGTAGTGTCCTTGGGCTATTTGGCAGCACCAAAACTGCGCCTCGAAAGCGATTGCCACGCAGGTGGCGGGGGCTGGGGCCATCCCCCCCCCACCCGCCCCAACCCCTCCGAATGAAGGCAGACAGCAACTGAGAACAAGTGCATGATACGTGTAGCCGATGCTTGTCACTAGGATATGAGTCAGCCATCTGCAATGGCAGGTGCTCGGGGCGCCATGCTGGCGCTGTGCTCGGAGGAGGAGTTGGAGGAGCTCAAAGGCCGGGGGGCGGGGGGGGTAGCTGTGGATCTTTTTGTTTGTTTCTCTGTTTTTGTTTGTTTGTTTGTCTGTCCTATTGCTCTGTTTTGTAATCAAGGGTTTGCGGTTTGGACGGCCATTTCATTTTCTGACCAATTGCACCTGGACGATTTACAGTTTCGCGCGGCCAGTATTTCGCATTCCGCAACGCCACTCTTTCCTCGAGCATATTTTCTTGGGATGATCCCCAAGCGCTTTGATTTCGGCTGAGGTGCCTTTGAGCTTTGCGGTGAGGGCGGTGCTGATGCGCGGCAGGTCGCTTGTCCAGGAATCTGGTGGCCGCATTGTAGTCGAAAGCCCAAGGTGTAGAGACGGGCAATGAACATGCGCATGCTGTTTAGGATGTGGCCAGTTGCTGTGGAAAACGACTTCTTTGTCCCCTCTTTGCATTTTTTGGCTCTGGCAGCCGACTGCCAGATTGAAACTCTGGCTGTTGGGGGACTTGGAAGTGGTTGGGGGCTGCAAGGCTGAGAATCGCCAAAATCTGAGGCCATAACCGCCGAGCTGCAGCGGCGTCAGTGAGAGGGTTGAGCCCCCCGTGCCCAGCGACGGCCGGGGGAGATGGCTTGGAGTGTCAGGGCAAACCTCTCAATTTGTGAGATGAGAACTTCCAAGGCTAGAAACGTGGATCTTGAGGAGTTACATAGACATACAAATAAATCGCATCTTGCGCTTGAAGGTTTTGCTAGCGAACTCGCTCCGGCTGACTTGGGCAAAGAACCAAGAGGAGCGGTGACCTCGTTTGCGCTTAAAGATGTCGAAGGAAAGAGAGCAGACGTGGCAAGCTTAAAGAGGCTCGCTAGGGTCCTTGGAAGTCGTAGTGACTGTTTCAGGCGGGCATTGCCAACTTCCACCTCCTTACCGCAGCCGGGGCCCAGAGAATCAGAGAAGTGTATGGCCGGTGTTGGGCAGGGGGCATGTGGGCCATGTGGATCTTGGGTTTCGGGAGTGCTGCATATATATATATATATACACATATATATATATATTATATATATATACACATACACATAAATAAAATCACACACACACACACACCAAACCAAACACAAAGAACACAAAACATGTGCCAGCTTGCAACCAGTGTGCCCTCGCTCCTGCAGGTCCTGGCCAAGGACGTGCACCGGGTCTCGGTGGCGCTGCCCCGAAAACGGGCGCCGGGCTTGGGGGTTTGGGGCGAAGCCAACCTACCCCGGCCATCCCGGCCCCCCCCCACCCCCATGAGTTTGACATGTTCTCAAGGAAAGAGAGGTAAAACGAATGGAGATTTGAGGGTTTTTGGGGAATCGCCGTGGGGTTGGGCCAAGTGATTCGACTTGCTGTGCTGCTGTTGCTCCTGTTCATAGAAAGGACCTCTACTCTAAAGCCCCGAACATGACAGGCCGTCCATGAAGAGAATGGCACGGAACGCTTAGAGCGCCCTTGGCCAGTTTCGGCCACGGAACCTGAGCCGTCACAATCTGCGGGCCACGAAGCGAGGCGACCACCACCAACTACGACAAAGCTTTGGTGCGCTTCTTCGAGCAGGTGCATTCGAGAGTCCAATTCCATTGCTCGGCCCAACGAAATTCCATTTCTTTGGGTTGCTTCACGGTGCCAGGGTGCCAGCGCGTTGACGTGCAAGGTGTATCAAGGCATCAAGGACCACGTCAACCTTGACCTGGTGAAGTGTGTCTTGCTGGCGGGGCCTGGCTTTGTGAAGGACGCGCAGCCAACTGTTGCACTTGCGGTTGCTTTGGCACCGCGGTTCAGAGTGGACACCTGCAGACTGATTGATTCTGAAAAGCATGCACGTAGGGAGCGTTCCTCAATCGCACGTGCTAGTTTCATCCGCCCTCTTCTCTATCCCTCTCTCTCTCTCTCTTGTATACTCAGAAAGGGAGCGCCTGCCTTGAGTGTCCGAGACGATTCAAGGGCACTCATGGATTTCTGGCCTGCGGGCGGTTTCGGCGAACGTCTGATCAAGGACGACTACCTGTCCTGGATGATCCAGAGGGCCACCCAGTCAGGGCGCTGGTCTCAAGCCATGCAATCCATGTTGTGAGCGTGTGCCGGTCCCTGTGGCTTTACCCATCTGAGGGACACAGTGATCCTACAGAAGAAGAGCAACTTCGTGTCTGTCCACGCCTCCTGCGTGCATCTTGGTGGCAACCTTGCACCCTCCCTCAAGCTGCCTGTTTGCTGGGGGTTTGGCAAGTGACAGTCTTCAAGTTTTCGACATTGGTCTTGCTGTTTGGGAACCGCGACCGCCCCCCTCCCCAAGCGGGACCCAGGCACAAGCAAGCTCTGAAGGAGCTGCTTTCTGATGAGCAGGCTGACGCACCGGTGTCTGGCTTGCAGGGGCGGGCGCAGACTGTTTGAGCAAGGAATATCCGTTAAGAGTGTGGCACAGGTTCGGCGACTGGCACCTTGAGAAGTACGGACCATGACAGAGTCTGGTGGAATCTAACACTTGAAACAAACTTTCAGTCCTGTGGCTTCACGCCGATTTTGTTTCCCTCCGATGTTCCATGCTGCGTTTGCCCTTGCCGTTTGGCTCATGTGAAAACGGCAGGTTGCGTCACCAGCTGTGCGGCCAGGTCCAGAAGAGCATCGCCAACACCAAGGCGGCTGCGCACCTCAAGGCGTTGGGTCCAGATCTTTCCTTCGCATTCGTCATGTCATTTTAAACCCTCAGAATGGTGGTGTTCCTTTTGGATTCCCTTTAAAGCCATCTCAGAAGGGTGCCCGGGAAAAGCACGCACCTACATTGAACGGGATCAAACAAACGGATTCCTGGGCAATGCAATGTGTGTAGCATCCGAAAGGAACATAGTTTTAATATGTTTTAATATCTTAGAACCCTCTTTGGAGTTACTCAATTTGGCTTTCCTGGGGTTGGTTAAAGATAATCCCCTGGACTTCGTAGCACCCTCTTTGGAGTTACTCGATTTGGCCTCCCTACTTGATGTTTGTCGAAGATAATGCCCTGGACTTAGCGCACGGAACCCAAAGAGGAGTCCTCTCCCCAACAGGACTTCCCAACTCAATTCGTCACAAGAGCAAGGGTCTCTGATATTGATTAATGTTCAGGAGACCGCAGTTCGCAATCCGAGCAATCCGAGGATTTGGGTCTGAAAAGAAAGAGTCGCACAGGGCTCCTTAACAGATATTTGTTTGCCCATTTGAAACATGGCTTTTTCCACAAACATAAAGGGACACCACCATTTACAAGGCGATGTTCACGGTATGATGTAAGGATCCCTGTCGCAAGAGCAACGCGTGCACGTTCTGGGGTCTTTTGCGAGAAAGCGACGTATTGCAAGGCGCTCGAGGAGTTCTATGTTATGGTGCAGAAGGAGCTGCGAACTCAGCGGGAGGAGTTGGAATGGATTCCATGGACGTGTGAGATGCCAAATATAGCGCATCACGAGGCTTCCCTTCACCCCAAGACCATTCCGACAAGGAGGCATATCGTGGCATGGTTCGGGGCTGAAATCCTTAAAAGAAAGTCAGGTGGCCAGCGACCCATGCAGTGGGCAGGGTGCGTGTCGACCGTTTAGCCAAGGCCCGACCGCGTTTGCTACGGGCCCAAGCAGGCGGGGCCCGGGCCCGGCCTGGCCTCCATGGAGTTTTCAAGTCAGTTTTGTTTTTTGTTTTTTTTCCTTTCCCTTCCAAGGTCGATAAGGTTTGGAACACACATTTTGGGAGGGTCTATGGGCATTGGGAAAAGTGGTTCGTTGATCCCAATCAAGTCTTTTCGTTCGATTCCGTATGGTTTTGACGGCCTCTGTATTGAAACTCACATTCAACGGCTTGCTGGTCCCGTTCCGGAGATCTTTTGGAACATGTTGACTACATGCTGACATGGGTAATGTACTTTGAAGCCAGGGCCCCTCACCCAAAACGCCGTTGAACTTGAGAGCCACGTGAAAGACTTGAGTGCGGGCTATGAGCTAATTGAACTGCATTCATGGACGGCTGTCCAAACCCGAATCCACAAGGGTTCCAACTCGTGTCATTCCTAAACCAGAAAACTCCGCAAAATTTCCCTACATCCAGGCACCAGCAGGAATCTCCAACGCTGGAAGGGTGACCTTGTGGTAGCTTATTTGGGGTCCCTTAGGTTATAGCCCAAGCAACGCATTGCTTTGCTTTGGCCGCCGTCCGAGTCAGGTGCATGAAGCCATCGAGAAGTGTGCTGTCCAGACGTTGATGGCACCTTCGGCGAAAGAAGCCTCCACCCAGCCCAGTGCTGCCCCCTATTTCTCCGGTTGCTTGAGAAGGATCTCATTAAAAGTCCACCAGCACTGCCCAGGGTGCACGGCTGCGGCGCTAGCCGGGGCTTTGAGGTCAATCGCTGCCCTTTCCACCGTGCAACATTGAGCATGTAAACATGGGTAGGGGGCACCCGAAGGGCCTCCTGGTCACCAGTTTACTGTTCTGCCCGCGTAAGGGAGTCTTTGCTGAGTGGACCTCTTTTTGGGTTCCATGCTACCCAATTTTAGGAAAGTGTACGTCTTCATTTTATGTTTGCTACTGGTGGGAGCGAATCACACAGATCAATTCTTTGACCTGCAAACAAGAGGCAGCTTGCACCTCGGCAACAGCAAATGAGCAGATTAAATATTTGCGAATGGATTAGTTGGGTAGAAGGAACATTGGTGGCCCCTGTTTGTCCTCCCGAAATGAGCAATACCCATGACTCCTGCAGCTCTGCTTGCTTGAGCTACTGACATTTGAAAACGACTTGAACCCCCTCCCAAAACTGATTTGGCAAAGCATGTTGGTTCTCTACGTCCACAAGACCCTTGTCTTGAGACATCCTCAACTGGTGGTTGTGGGTCTATGCCCCCTCGCTAGAGGTGGTGGACTCTCTCTTCAGAAATGCCAACGTCAAGCTCAGAAGACAGTGCTCCGACTCCGAATTTCGTGGGTTGGCTGAGCACACATTGGTGGAATGTGAGTCGAAAGAAGTAGCTTGGATCCATCTTTTCGGGACATGTGGAAGGGAGACATTGGTTCAAGTCGTTCAAGCCATGACACCCCTTCGCGCGAAACAGTGCGGAGTCCTATGGGCTCATCTGCTAAAATTCACGCCTGGTTTGTCAGCCTTTATTCGATATTGATCAGGGCGTCAATGAGGGGTCAATATTCATCGGTTATTGAGCTCAAATAGAGGCTCTCTGCCGCCGGAGCTGGGAGCTGATTCCTGGCACGGTTTCGGGTTCCTTGCATATTGAGTTTTGTTTGCTCAGGTACGTGGAGATGGTGGAAAGCGCTAAGGATCAGGTCCGTGCGGGGAACCGCCCAAAAGGGGTGCTCGGTGTGCTGAATGTGCCCTGGCCAAAAGACTCTTTTCCTTTGCGTTGCTAAGGATGGTCATGAACCGTTGACAGACTCAACAACCATGATAAGCAATTCTATGAAGGAAATCAGAACCGTGGGCACCGTCTTGAGAGTTTCGACCACAGACAGAGACCTGTTAACCTGTGATCCCTGTTCCTGTTTTCATGCGGGTGGCCTGTACAAAGAGTGTATTTTCTTTGAGTTCCCCTTCGAACATCTCGGGGCGCTGTCGCTTTTGTAGTTGTTTTGCACAGCCGCATGAAACATTTCCCAACACATATCGACATTACCCCATACGCAAAATTTCTGTTCGCTTCCAGCGTAGTTGAGACCCCTTGTTCCATGCAGTGATGGACCGCTTCGGCTCATTGGGCCTTCATTTTTCGGCCCAGAGCCAAGAGCCTTTGAGAGCCCGTTGCATCGCAGAGCCTTTGGCAAAGCTGGAGGGCACCTGAAATTCCAGCCATGCAGGCGCCTTTGTTTTGAGGGGTCCGACTCGCATGGAACTGAGGCGCCAACTGAGGCCTATTGAAGCGGCTCTCCCCGGCAGTCGCTCATTTTTGAAGGACGTGAACCCGGGGCTTGAAACTCCACCAAGGCCAGTTGGCTTGGCCCGAAATTCGTATCTCCCGACTTCTCCTTTACCCTGGATGGACACCAAAATCCTACTCACGCATTCGTCGGGCTTCCATCCCGGCTGCAGGAAATACTCTCCCGGCCACGGCATGGCTAGTTTGCTTACGAAGTTCCCTTGGTCTTTGCCATAGCCGGACGCTGCATCGGCTGCATGTCTGCGGCTCGGCCGCGGCTTCGCCAGGGCGCTGGCTGCCACATCTTCTCCTCGCAGCACGTGAGTGGGGAGCAGCTGCAGGAGCAGTCGAGTCGGCCGTTTTGGTGGGGGGGTCGGGGGACGGGAGAAATGATTTCACCCAACCACTAAGAGCTACTCAACAGCATTGTGGGGTATGAATCTGCAGCAAAGGGGTGATCACAGCCCCCAGTGTTGATTGGGGAGTATTGGGGATGAATAAACATGTATTGCTACAAAGGCGCTCGCAAGGTTGTGCTATACTCGGTCCGCGGCAAACCGATGGTTTTGGATAGATCCAATCAGCTGCACCGGTTGATGGCTTCGGGTTTATGATATTTGATGGGGTGCTGTGGTGGCACGATAGCCTGTGGGTTTCACATTGATAAACTATCTTTAGAGGGCACAGCCTAATGAGAGGGAAGATGAACTTGGCAATAGCTCGACTAAGTTCAGAAGATGTCCAATCCAATATGGATGTTGGTTGCCCAAAACGTGAAGCGAGCTAGTGCATTCTGGCTGAATGACTGTCAGCCCTTTCGTGGATTTCCGATAGTTATGGCAAGTCCTGCCGAGTGGACGCCCCAGTTGCCACACCTTGATCGCCTAGGTCGGTCTCAACAGAATGTTCAGAATCGCTTTTTAGCTGTTTTTGCAATTCTGTTCAGCAACGGGCTGCAGAAGCCGTTTCCTAGCATTTGAGGCTTGCAAGGTTTCGGCAGCTCGTTGGAACCGCTCAGAAGCTGAGCGGCATCGCGGGCGTCCTGCGCTTCCCATTGCCGGAGATCGGCGACATTGACAGGTGTGGCCAGGGAGGGTCGCTGGGGAGAAGGAGGTCAGAGATGCATGGTGTGAGGCTCTTGTATGATCGATGCGCAGTCACCAATACTTGAGTAGCTCTTTGGTTTGGGAGATTGACTTTGTTGCCACCAACCAGCAATCCTGAAGAAGTGTTTGCAGAGGGGTCAAAGACTTGTCCAGTGTCCAATCAGCACGGCAAGGGGGTTGGGGGGGGGGGCCTTTATTTTCTCAAATGAGAGCTGTAGGAGATTGGCCATGGACCAAGGTTGGTCATGATGGATGGACTTCTGCCGGACTTGGTGTTTTGTGTTTCATGGCCGGGTCCCACAAACTCAAGTCGTGCAAGCATCCGCCCAGTGACGCTGGCCTCAGCGACGGCGGAGAGGAGGAACAGAGGGGCCCCGAGGCCGGGATCTGAACATGTGCCGTGCCCGGGCTCAGCAGGCAGGGTGCGTCTCTACAGGACAAGATGGCTGCATGGCGGCTTTCCCTTCAACAGCGACCCGGAAAGGAAACCCTTCCCACAGCATGCCCATGATATTGTTCCGTGGTTGCCATCCAACCAAAAGCACAAGGGATGGGAAAAGCTACCCACCAGGTTGGATGGAGGTATGATCACAGAAAAACGCGTACATGTGGAGGTTCTAGCAGCCCTCACGTAGTGGGCAAAACCGCAGCAGTACGTCAAGTACGTTCTGGGGAAGCTTAAAGTGCCCCACGAGCTGCAGATGTTGACCCTGCCAACCAGGTTTTCTTGCTTGCATGTCCCATGACATCAATTCAGGTGCCTGCAAAGGGAGCGCCATTCATTTGGAGAGAGACTTGTTGGAATTTGAATGTATCTTGGACCTGTTTGCCTGGACTCTGCGTAGCCAGGTAGATGCCGACATGGATGACTTCATGTAAGGCTGCCAACGGAAAAGCAAAGCGCACGTGCGAGGGGTCAAGTTTCCTAGGCACCTTGGCAAGTGGATACAAGCAACACCGCTACAGGTGTAGCAGTCGTTTGGCACCTTTGATTGGAAGCGGCAAAGCAGAGAGCCCTTGGCCGACTGGCAGACTCCCCCATACCTTGCAGGCGCTGAAGGCTTCGGAGAAGGCTCTTTGCCCACCTCTGATCGGTTTGGTTCAACATTAGCCATCAGTGGGCACTAGTCTGTTTCAAGCTGGCGTTTTGCCTACGTACCTATTCTTGCACAAGCGCTTTGTTCACCAAGCGCTTGCTTTGAGCCGTTTTGTTTGGAGGGTGCCCAAGGTAGCCGCTTTGCGACTGGCTTAAAGATGCTAGCCACAACATAAGTCAAATGGAAGTCGCCCAGCTCCGGGGGTTTCCCCATTTCGTGACGCGCTCATCGCCACGTTCTGCGGCTTTTCGGCTAGCACGGCTCAGCAGCTGCCGGGTCCAGACCATGGCGGTGCCGGAAACTTGGAGAAAGCAGGCAAAACAGCACCAACCGGGGCCTGAAATTGAGTTAACCCATAATTTCTGGGTGTTTTGGTCGGTGTTTTCAAAGGAACAACGCTTTGAAATTGGTTGAAAAGCCGTTATGAAGGAGAACCAACAGCCCGCCTCGATTTTCCGAAACGCTCCAGTGGCCAGCGTGGATCAGCGGTTAGTCTGGCCACCCGGGCCACTGTCTCACATTGGTTTTGCTCAGGGAAGAACAAGCTTGGGATATTTTTGGCGAGGGGATTTGTTCCGCAGTTTGCCCCCATGGACCGCCGGGCGGGTTGAAACCACTCCTTTGTCTTTTTTGTTTTACGCGCGATTGGTCAAACACGGCGGAGAATGGAGTTGCGGAATCCACTGCAGGGTTGTGCCCGGACAACCAGCACAGCTGATCCTGGACGAGGAGGATGTTTTTGAGGACCGGCTGGCCTCATGTTCATTTTGTCGCCCTCGAGAGGGAGGCTAAGTCACCCCCATTTTCTCAGCTTTAACCCCACACCACCAAACCATGGCTTGTTGCAAAAAGTGGCATTGCAGTGCTTGTTCTGTAGGAGGCTTTCGGGAACTGCCCCCTGTCTTTTAGACGAATTTCAGTTGTACAACTTCTATGAGTGATTTGGTGGATGTATAGTTCCAAGACGGCACACCAATACTTCGTGACTAAATCAATCAAGGCCGCCAGAGTGCGTTGCCCGCTTCTGCATGCATCTCTCTGCCACGATTTGGATGTTGATAGATTATGTTCTCGCTGAAACGAAACACTTTTCTCCGGAATCGCCAGGACCCTTTCAAGGACCGCCGCGCGGGGCTCGCGCCGGGCGAGGTGCGCATTTGGACTGCGACGTATATATGTACGTCGTGAAGGCTTGTTGGGATATTGCCCGTATACAGAGACATTTGGCTTCAGGTTTGCTATTAAAGCGCGGTGGGACAGTTTGGCCATGCAGGGCAAAAGCACTTAGGAATGACGACTTGCTGTTGTTCAGAAGAAGCTGAAGTAGGGTGACCATGGTGAACACGTGTCAACTTGGATCATGTGGACGCCATTGGTTCTCAAGGAAGGGAGGGGCAAGTGATGGAGATATACATGGCAACACATGCGCCAATGTCGATGAGGGATCCTTCATTGACGTTTGTTTTTCCATGCTCCATACATTTACTTCTTAAAGATGGAATTGGGCCGGGGGCTGACCCCGGGAATTCCTTGGAAGCAGTGGGACGCTGCCCATCGCCTTGGCCTTAGCTGTACCTCTGCCATTCTTCCCGTGGATCCTCCCTTCCTTTCGGAAAACTGCCCAAAACTTGAGAACTGACGGGTGGCTCGAAAGAAGGATGGTAAACACAAATGGAGATTGAACCGGGTAGTTTATCTCGGTTTTTCATGGGGTTTCATCCATCACCCTGGTTTTCCAACCCACCTGTGTTTTGACCTCCACCTTACCTTTCAGATTCTCTGTCTGAGCCCAACAAACGATCGGTTGGTTGAAAGAACCGCCCCCCAATCAGACGGGCAGAAGGGCCGCGGCCAGGTCCCGGTGATGACATACACGGCGCCGGCGATGCAAGTGACCACCATCGAGGTGGCTTCCACCCGTCGATGTTTGGGCCCTCTTTGGGGCCTACGGAGGAAAGACAGAGCTCCTTTTTTTTTGAGGGTTCGAAACAAAAAGACCATGGGAGCTTGAGCTATGTTGGACCCATGGTAGATGACATATTGGGATTGAGAACCCCCTGCTTTGCGGACCTTCTGGTTTCACTTGCAACCGTTTCGGCGTAATGGCGCCGCTATTGTCTGCTCTGAGCCATGGTGCTAGCAGTCAGCGACTGGCTTCAGGTAAAGGCAACATTGATCATCGTTCAAGCCATCCTTGACGCATAGATTTGGTTTGAATAGCCAAGTTGACAACGGTCCTTTCAAAGGAAATCCGCGCCCCGCCTGCGTCAATTTTGGCAGGTTCCAGCACATGCCGACAAGAGATTCTATGACAGCATGCTTCAGCTGCTGTCGGTCTTCCCAGCTCGTTTGGGGCTCGCATTGCACAGCGTGTGGCTTCAGGGATTGACAGACTGGAGCTGAGGCTTCCGAAGCACACTGGTCTTAAAGTCGAATTGTCAGCATTACTTTGAAAGACATCAAAGCTCACATCTTCAGTTTCAGGTCGCATCACATCTTGAATGCAAACCTTGCTCCGGCTCAAGTGCAAGCGGAATTCAGATTTCCACAGCCAATGGAAGCCTTCAACTGACTCGAATCAAGCCCCGCAGCCGAAAGATGGCTTCGCGATGATTTCGACCAGCAGATCTAGCGAACAATCCATTCGGAACGCGCCCACGCCCTCACTTCTTGGAGATGGGCGATGGTGGCGCTGTAGGCAAAGGGAAGGACCGTGCCACGCATACTTTGCGGGAAAATGAAACGATACGCAACGAGGCATTTGTAGCAGGATTGCATAGATGCCTTCTTCCAGCTCTCTCTCTCTCTAGTTGTCCTTCTCTCTGCACCAACAAGCCTATTTTTCGTGTGATGGCCGGTCCTTTGCATTAAGGGTCAGATCTTCCCACTGGATGGAGCGGGTGGCTGTGATGGTAAAATAATGGGCCCGGATCCTGCAAGCACTTCTTGGAATTTGTATTTTTTTTTGAGTGGGTTTTGGTGGGAGGGAAGGGTTCCATGCAGATTTCCATGCGGCGAATTGGACCGAGCCTAGCGCGAGGATGACGACCTGGAGAACCCGTACGAGCTCCTGGAGCTGGAAGATGACGCCGGGGAGAAGGAGATCAAGGCGCGCTGCCGGACGCATACGACGTAGGTGACGCGCTTTTGTACGTCAGGGGTGCTTGGCCCCAACGTGAGTCGCAAAATCGCCCCCGACAAATTTGTTGGGTTTTGCAAAAGGCGGGAAGCCCAAGACAGAAGTTGACCGGTGTGGAGGCTGCCTTGACTGGAGGTTTTTCGGTTAGTGACTCAGCCCCAAGAGGGATGGGGAACGGTTTACAAGGGAAGCCAAAGGCAAAACGACCTGGAAGGGTCCCAAGTTTCGACGTCCCAAATGCCATGAGAGTCTCAGAGTCGAATTTTCATGTCCAAGCCGGGCTTGCCGGGCCCAATCCACCTCGCCCGCAGACTGCCTACCGCAAGCTCTCGCTCAAGTGCCATCCGGATAGCTTCTTGGCTTACACGAGACGGATGGTCAAAATGAATCAACCAGGGGACCGCAGATTTTAGTCCATGTTTGCATTTAGCAGGCTGAATGTTGGGTACCCATTTTTGACCCGAATCTGCCTAGCTGAGGAAATCCCGATGACCCAGAGGCGCGGCGCGTTTTTTGTCCCTCCGCTTTCTTTCTCGCAAGCAAGGATGCCATCCGCAGGCACAGCGCAAATCCAAACTTGGGATGAAAGAATCAGGGCACCCCAAACAGATTCGAATAGAGGAGGTCCAGCTTGTACCAAAGGACAATCATGCATGTAGAATGATAGAACCCGTTTGTTGGAGGGAACCCGTTTGTAGAACCCATTGCTTGGGTATTCACATTCGATTTGACCGCCAGGCGGCAGAGAAGTTCGATCGCTTGACGCGGGCAAAGGACTTGACAGAAGGGCCCACGTTTTTTGCAAACTTGAAAGGGGATGGGTATTTGAAAAGACAAATCCAGACGCCCCCGCCCCCCGGCTGTTTTTGTTGCAACAATGCAAGAATACCTCAACAGCTGGTCAGCTGGCATTGGGCCGCAAGCCGTGAATTGGACAGTGTTGAAAGACACAGCACATTATTTGCTTTGGGCTTGCCATAGTTTGAAGCCTCGCAGGACCTTCTGCAACTTGGCTTCTTGACAGGGGGGGCGTTTCCGCCGAAATCTTTGGTAGGGCCGATCAAGCGTGTTACACATTGTTAGAAGTTTGGAATGAGCTTGAGCAAGCTGGTAGCACAGCCGTCACAACTAAGCAGAGATTGAGCCTCATGGCGAGGCAAATCTCCCATGATTCTTGTTCAGAGTCATCTCAACGACTTGAGCATGTGTTTGTACATGTTTGTACTAGTTCGACGACTCTTTGGTTTATTCAAGGCAATTCACATTTGACAGATTCCGATTTGGAATGGCACCTGAGGTTGGACTGCGGTCGACGATCAGAACTGGACAGGACATGGGGGTCTTCGGGGCTTTTGCCTTTTTTCTCCAATCCGTGAAGCAAGAGAGGACATCGTGCAAGGATCAAATGGGTGCTTGTGCATCAGCGTCAAGCTGAGATCCCTTTTTGGATGGTTGTAAAAGGGAAACCAACCAGTTTGAGGTCCCGTGCTTTAGGAGCCCCTGCAATGAGGTTGCTTCTCTCGGTCCAAACGTGATATCCTTTTCTCTACGAGACAGAAAGGGACAAAGCCGCACCACTGCAGCGGCTCTCATGTTTGAACAGCCATCAGCTTGCCAACGCGAACGCGGAGTCTGAGACAGTTTTCTGATCTCGCCAGGAAGCGCAAGGCAGCCCGGGATTTGGAGGAGCTGCGCCATGCGCACTGCCGGGTGTGAGGTTTCGGAAGAGTTGGGCCACATCTTTGAGATCGGAAGCTGTTCAGAGGCAACTTGCAAATGTGACAGCATTCCACAGGAAGTTCAAAGATGCCAAGCTGATGTGGAAGATTTGGGGTTGCCTGACCCTCGCACAGCAGCTTCCCACTTAAAGACTTGGTCAACTGCAGGTTTCCATTGGGCGTGGCTTCCACATCGCCCAGCAGTTTTTTACCACATCGCAGCGACGAAGTTCGAGTTTTGCGATGCATCCCCCCAAACACCCGGAAGCCAGATTCGCGCAGGAGCGGCACGCGCAGGAAGACGCCAAGCGCCGTAAGTTCCGGGAGGATTTGGAAGGCCGGGCTTCTCCGTGTTTGACGGAGAGACCAGGGCAAATCGAGCAACATTAGCACTTGTCAATCGATTTGATGGGACAGAGAGTGAGAAAAAGGAGAGAGAGAGAGAGAGAGACAGAGAGAGACAGAGAGAGAGAGAGAGTGTACCACCCAGGTTTGTTTCCCAAGCGGGACCACCCAGTTGAACCATGTCATTTGGTTGGTTGCTTGGACCAGTTAAAACTGGGCTCGTGAACCTGCCAGTGTTTTATGGTTATCAGCATGTCAGTTTTGGGGCCCTTTCCCATTTACCAGCAAACCGGAGACTTTAAACCTTGCTTGTCCCATTCTCGTCGAGCCTGCTAGGAGGGGCCCAAATCGGGCTTCACCGGGGAGGAACCCAATGCAGATTGGCAATTTTGGGTGATCCCAGGAACTAGGCGAAGCAACAAGCAAGAGCAACACAGCAACTGGACAAGGGGCAACCGATCCCTGGCCTTGGCCGTGTTGGCGAACCGTCTCATGGGCCTCAAATAATTCGGTGGACCATTGATCACCTCCCTTGCAACGCCTTGGGACTGGGGAGGTGCACAGTGTATGCCCTAGAAGTGGGCTCCTGCCGTCCAATTTTCTGCTGCATGAGTTGTCAGGCATGTGAGATTCATTTGACTTCGCCAGAATGTCGGCAAAGTACAGGAGTCCGAAGGGGGCTATTCCAGTCGACTGTTGCTCTGTTCGAAAGCGCGCGCTTTCGTGATTTCACATGAAGGCTCGCTCCAAAGCAGGGCCTGCCCAGAAGGACCATGCTAGAAGCGCAGTTGTCCATTTCGGGCTGCTACTTGCGTCTGTAGGAAGCAAGCCCATGCTTGTAGGACACCTGGTCACAAGAGACCTGTGAATCCAGGCAGGCAATACTCACCGGGTTGATATTTACCTGGTCTTTTGGAACTTTGGTGACTGTGCCGCCTCAACCTATTCATGGATTCCTGCCCAACGATGGGTCGCAAGAGGCCGGGAGACTGCGGCCAACGCCCGCAGCGCCGCTGCGAAGAGGGCCGCGCACGACGCAGAGGCCAGGGCAGGCCCCAAAATGACAGCCAAAGTCGACCGCCGGGAAATCTGCGGTTTGTGTTTGTGATTCATGTTATCGGGGCTTGTCGTTTTTGACCTCGTCATGAAATACGTCTGAACTAACAGGGGTATTAGATAATGAATGAAAAGCTGCTTATGAAGTGATCCATGACCATAACGCAAGGTCAGGGTGGCTGTGCTTCAAAAAGATTGGTGTGCAACACAGCCCGCTAAGAAAGCCCAATTGTCATGCCACGCAAACCTTCCATGGATCGTCTTCTTGTTGGCAGGGGGAACAAAGCCTTGAAAACTCCTGCAGAACAAGGTGACAAGTTTCTGTCCCCTTGAAACTCCCCTTGCTCTCTCTAAACATGGGATGTAAGCCATCAAAATCCAACCCCGATCTGAAAGGAGTCTCGAGCAAACCGTTGTTTTGATGGGCTCCTTAAAAGATGCACTTTGGCCACTCTCAGCATTACCTTTGCCACCTGACCCAAAGGAAGCACACACCCCTTTTTCGGGTAATGTTCAGGTGGATGGCTCAAAAAACCAGTACCCACTGGAACCCTGGTAAGTGGAAACATGGACCAAAACCTGCGTAACCCTAGCTCTTGAATTTTGAGCCACCCTTTCTGCTTTGAAGTGTTAAAGGTAAACCAAAGGCACCCCACCCAGTTTTGGGCCGCCCATCCACAAGTGGATAGGTTTGCGACTCGAAGAGGCTCGCCGGAAGTTCCTGCAGCAGGACATGGCGCAGCGGATCCGCGCGAAGGAGCAGGAGCTGTCAATGCGCCAGCAGGAGGCGCCAGGAATTTTGTCTGCAGGAGTTGCCCCCAGGTGTTTCCGGACTGCAGAGCAGAAGGCTTCCCGTTGTAGAAGTTGTTTGAGGGTCAGTTGTGCGCAGTACTTTGAAGGATCAGGCGCTGGCAGGTGCTGCGCTTCGAAGCAGATTCCGTAGTAGCTTGTGCTTTGCAGCGTCGCGCTCTCGACTTCATAGCTTTTGGGGCATTTTCCGGCCGCTGCTTAGCCGAAGAGGCACGTAGACGCGCAGACAGATAGAGAGGTGGGTGGAGACAGATAGAGAAGCAAACTGGTTGGCAAACGGACAGATGGATGGCTAGACAGACAGACGGATAGATAGACAGATGGATATTTGGGCAGAATCATGGCTAGACAGGACGGACCGTAGAAGATGGGAAATGGACAGCAAGATGGATAGACAGACAGCGCTGGAAGGTAGACACATTGATAGATTGATCGGCGGGCAGATAGACGGACCCGAGATGAGAAGGGACTAGATCGTACGATGAAATAGCGACAGACGGCCAGGCATATCTGTGCGTCGCGCCGCACGCTACTTTCGCTCTGACAGGCTGCGACTTGCTCCACCGGCACTGAAGGTGTACCTCGCGCGTTCGTGCAGAAAGGCCGCCATTTGCGAGCTGGAGCTGCGAAAAGTAAAAATATTGCTACTACTTTTGCGCTGAAAAGATGCTGGGCTACTGCCATCGTACCTTTTGAGCTGGAGCTTGGAAAGCGCGCTCGCGCCCTGCTTTTGCACTGAGAAGCTTCAATTTTCAAGCTGAGGCTGGCAAAGTGTAGAGGCTGCATACGATCTCTCTCCTATTCCACCCATCTGTCTGTATTCCTACAAGCCCAGTATTCTTCTTTTCATTCTTTCATTCTGTCATTATTTCTTTCCTTCTGTCAGTGTGTCTGTTGGTCTGTCCGTCTGCCTACATCTTTCCGTCTAGCTATCATCGACGGACAGATAGCTATATAGGTCAGATAAGTATTGACAAACACAGACAGATGGACAGATTAGATGGATAGATAGATAGATGGATAGACAGATAGTTAGGTAGGTAGGTACACAGATGGTTAGACATACAGATATGGACAGGCAGATAGACAGATAGATAGGTAGCTAAACAGATGTAGAGGTAGATGCATAGCAGACACACACACACACAGATAGATGCAACGGTAGCTTTGGGAATTAGTCGGCATTCGGGTTCATGGCTTCTATCAGGCTTGAGGTAAAGTATGCGTGTTAAAGAGAAACCAGAGGGCAGTTTGTGTCGTGGTGTCCTAGTTTATAATGCGAGTCACGAGTTCGGGTGCTGGGTTTTGTCAATGCACGGCTGGTTGTTATTTGAAAAACATGCATCATGTTTTGCTTTGGGGGTGCTGGAACGCTGTGCCTCCGACACCTCACCCTTGAGGCGATTGTTTGTGTTTAGCAATGACCTCTAGAAAGCAGTCAACCTTTGGAAACCTTGAGAAACCTTTTGAGAGTCAGTCTAACTTCAGTTTGTGGAGAATGTGGGTCTCTAACAGGTTGGGTTTGAGGTGAGAGGTCATAGGTCGGTAACATGTGGAGTCAGTCTCCTAGGTTGGGTCTCTAAAATCAGATATAATCTCCAGAGACCCAAACGTCGCAGTGTGCTTTCCTCAGGTGGCGGCTTCCGCCGCTGAGGCGCGGGAGACGGCGCTGGACGCGCGGCTGCGGCTTACCTGGCGAGGCGTTGGGTTCCCGCGTTGGTGTCCAACGAAAAAACAAAAGACCAAGAAAGGCTGGTGCACAGCATGTCGTTTCTCTATGTGTTCTTTTGGTGGTTTTCAAACCTTAAGACCAAACTAGAAATGGTTAGGTTTCCTTGTGGCTTTCCTGTAAAGCGACCCCCCAAATAAGGGTTTCCTAACATTTAGTAAAGGGACCACGTACATACGGCTAGGAGGTGCTCGTGGTTGCGTTGGAACATCAACTCCAAGGCCATAAATCCAATCATGTATTTCCGGTGTCATGTCCATCAAACAGTCAATTGAAATTCACAAGCGGTTGCACACTCGGTGCGCAGAAGACAAAAAGTCGGTCAGAGCGATCCAGGTGCTGCGCCCAGCATAGAAAGCATCCGCCAGGCAGGTTGCCATTCTGCCTTTTGTACCTCCAGGGCTGGGCCGAAATCAAGAGTTTAGCATCATGCACGAACGCGATGCTCGTAGTTCGGCGGTTTTTCTTGGTGTAAGACAAGCCCATTTGCGCTGCACTTTTCAAAGTTCCCCGTGTTCCAATCGGGCCAGGAGCTTTCAGACTTCGACCTAAAGTCCATGGAAGTTGGTGTGTCTGCAGCTCGGGAGGACGGTAACCCGCGGTCAGGTTTGAATGAATGTCAGCAGCTTGGGGTCCTGCTGTATTTCGTTTGCTTTGAATACCAGCTTAAGGATGCCAAGTTTGATGGAGTCTCTTTGGGACGTCGAAGATGTGGAAGGAAGCCGGAAGGAGAGGCGGTGTATGCTGGCTGTCTCACCCTGTCGTTTTTGGGAACCCACTTCAACAGACCCTCAACCCACCCCGAGCCAAACCTAAACCAATCTTAAACCCATCTTAATCAGTCGTTGCAACCTGAGACCAACCTGAAACCACCCCCAAAACCATTCCAAACCGTGAAGCCAACACAGCTTGCTGGTGATAGAGGTGTTGCTAGCGATGCTGGGGGAATTGGAGATGATGCGCGGGCGGGTTGCTGGTACGGCAAAAATGCATGGTATTCACTCGAAAATTAATATGCTGTAAATTACCGCATACTTGCTCCACCAAACTGTCTTAATTCTGCACACATTCACATAGGGGACCCTCCTTTTGGGATTGGATTCTTTGGGTCTCAGAGTTTTCTTTTTCACCCGGAAGTCAGCCCTAGCTAATTTTTCAGGGAGTGAGCGTGGTTCTGTGGACGGCGCCAGTTTCGGTCTAAGGTCCTCTGCCATTGTGCAGATGGGCAGCCGGGAGTCGGCTCTGAGGCGGGGAGGGTCTGAGCGAAACGGAAATCGGGACCTGGCGAGCGCAAAACCTGAGGGCGGTGCTGGAGTGCCGCTCCCGCAAGAATTTGCCCGAGACCCAGATGTGGCCTGTGAACCTCCCACCCCCCAAATCCATGGAAGGTATCAACCAAGACTAGGAATGGTATGAGGCCAGGAGTCCAGGCGCAGTGTTCGAGCACTGGGTGGCAACCATTCAGACGCAGACACAAGCAGAGGTTTTTCCAATGGCCAAGGGCATATACATATGTTTCCCACCCCTCCCCTCCCCCCACGACCGTTTCGGAATTCCAAGTCACATCTAGTTCTGTCCGATTTCAAATTCTAACGATATGGATCATGCCCGGATGTAGAAATTTGAATGCCTATTGCCTGGATCCGGGATCCAGATGTGTGAAAAGAGGGAAGCTAGAGCCCCTTTTGGACCCTGGTGCCAGATGTTCAAATTTATTTATTTATTTACTTACTTATTTATTTATTTGTGTGTGTATATATATATACCTACATTTTTCCAAAAGGACACACAAGGTTGACAACCCCTGCAGCTTGGTGCAACCAGCAGGCATCCATGTGCTCAGGTCCTTCAAGGTGGCGATGGCCCCCAAGGAGGTGAGCGGAAGGGGCATCTCATTGAGAGGGCACGTGTCGTTTGGTTTGCCGCAATTTCCCTCAGCGCCTCGCGAGAATGGGACAATCTGTGTGTGTGATGGTTTTTAGAAGGCGCCATAAGACGAGTAGCCACCGGGTGGGGTGGGCAGGAGAAGGAGGCGACTGAGAAGCCCAAGGCCCGGCGCCATCTCACTCCGCTTCCTTGCTCAGACCCCTTGCTGCGCTGGTGGAAAGCTGCTGCTAGGTGGCCACTTTCTGCAAATCGCGCGGCTCCCCGAAGTGGTTCTATGGGAATCCCTTTGGTGTCAGAGAAAGGGTAATATCGTAATATCCCACATGCCTGGGGCGGGTGCTTCAGTGTTTGTCTTTCGACAGAGCAAAGTTCGCAGCACTCTTTCGTCAGGTGGCGCGAAAGCCATCAGGCCAGCCAAGATGTGGGAGGGAGGAATTCTTTAAGGCCATACTTGGTTTGATCAGTGTGGGGCTGCACCCCACTCATCATGTCTGAAACAGGGGTCGTAATACTTTGTAACATCAGCTGTTGGGCTGTTAGGCAGCGAGTTTCCTTTGATCGCTATTGGGTGAGGGTTGGCCTGATTTGACGCATCCCGGCGGGTCTGCCCAAAACCCTGCCCGACCGCAATGAGGGGTCTACAAATTCAGACGTGAGCGCGAGAAGTTTTGCCACGCAACATTTGATCAGCTGTCCTGGTATGCCCCCCTCAAACATCACCCCAGCCACAGTGGCAGGTAGGTCTTAGTCTTTGGTTCCATTTACCAAGGTGCCATTTCAGTACATGTTTTTGAGCCACAGCCAGGTGGGTGGAGCTTTTGGAGTTTGTCCAGGTTTCCCATACTGTGGATGGACGAAATCCTGCACCACCTAAGAAGCCCTGAAATGATGATTCCCCTGTAAATACCAACAAGCAATGGCTTCCCATGGTTTCAAAGTGGTGCAAGTCTCTTCCAGCTTCTGACCGCAAATACTGGCCTCGCAGATTCCGGAGACAAACGCCCCGAGAGGGCGCCGCTTGCAGGCGAGTCGCTGGGCCGAAGCCAGAGCTTCGATGACTGGGAGGAGCCAAAGATTGGACAATTGGCATGTGGCCATTGGGCAACAGAGAGGGGGGGAGGGTGGTTTCTAAACCGTGTTATTATTATTTTTGTTATTATTATTATTATTATGATGATGGTGCTTTGGTTTGGCACTACCTATATTTTGCCTGCTGGTCCGGAGACACAATAGACTGGAATCTATCCGATCTGTTTCGTTTGTTTAGCTGATTTGAGTCAACGAGGCAACGGCGCTTGGCTCTTTGCGAGGCCAGGCCCTATCGGAGGGCAATATATGAAATCAGAGAGCCTGGGCCAGGAGCAGATGATGGCCGACATGAGAAACCTCATCAAGAAGAAGACGGCAACCTAAAAGAGCTGCCTCTCTCTGTCTCTCTCAACACTGGAAGGCCATACTTGAATTTGTTCAGAAAACTTTTTGCTGTGCAAAATTGCAGTGCAACATGAACTTTGAGAGCCGAGTCTGTTTGGCATTCGTAGGTGAGACAGGGATCGCGTCGCAGATCAACTCGCAGCAGTGCAGCCTGCACTCATGCAGCCTGCCGCTGACTGGGGCCAGCCGTTGAGTGCAGTCGAAAAAAGAGCAGCTCGTTTTGGCTCATATTTGCAGTGCGTCCCGTCATGAGCGTTTTGCTGCCATAGCACAGCAAGTTCTGAAGTAGGATAAATAAATCACTCCGCAGTTGTCGCCGCTTGCCTTGTCCGGGTTCGATATACCACACTGGAATTCGCAATCATTGTTTGATCTGTCTGGCCCTGGAACCAACGGAATTTTGGCTCCCTGGTGGTAAATCCCTTTTGCATCCAGCTGGTGTTATGGCTGCTGGTTGGGCATTGGGATCCCTGGAATCCAGCTGTTTCAGCCTTGCTTCACTGGTCGGAGCTTCTCCAAGAGATTGACGTCGCAAAAGGGGTCAGACTCGTTTAGATGCGCTTTGGCCATGAGTCAGGTAGACGGCAGACAAGTCTTGTGAGCCCAGAGAGAAAGCCAGGTGTCTTCCGGCATGGTCGTCTTCAGGTTCCTGGGTCAGACGGTGTGGGACAAGGAGATACGCAAAGTGAGGAAAGTGAGGCGTGGATTGGATTGTGTGAAGTGCGACGCTCAGGAGATCTACATGGCGCAGCAGGAGATTTATGCCGAACTCTGTGAGGCCCGGAGTTTGACCCTTCAGCCGAAAGCACCGGCGAGCTACAAGTTGGACTAACTTCGGAGCAACGCGACACGCCCTGGCCCAAGACAACCAGAATTTGTGTAGGCATTCAAGACGGTTCACCGCAGGAACCATTTGCGCCATGGACAATTCATAAGCCAATTGGTCAGCCCAATTGGCCAGCATGTCGGTCAGTCAGATATTCAGTCAGCCAGTCAGCCGGCTGGCCAGTCAGTCGGTCAGCCAGTGAGCAGTCAGGCCGCCAGCCCGTCAGCCCTTCAGCTATATAGCCAGCAAGCCAGTCAGTGAGTTAGCGAGCTTGCCGGTCAGTCAGTGAGTCAACAAGTCAGTAAGTGAGGAGGGAGTGAGTCACTCAGGGGGTTGCCTGAAGATACTTCTGCAGAGTGGCCCGTTCTGTGTTTGGCTGCCAGATCGTGGATACACGGCCCAACTATGTGGTGAACGTCGCGAGGGGAGATGTCCGCGACCCAAGGGGCCAAGAGATTTCGCTCGACCTTGCCACGTGTGAATTCGCTTGGCAGTTTCTAGGCTGTCACCTTCCCGCGGACTTGGACCTTTGCCCTTTGCACTTTTGGAATATGTTTATCAGATGCTTAGCCTTGTCAATATGCACCACCCATCTGTGAGGACTTTCTACTCGTTGAAGCTGATAGGAAGGTGCGGGAACAACTTCTCCCTAGCAAGATCCTTCCATGTCATCACAAACTGGACCGCTTATCAAAACTAGGAAGCTTTTGGAGATGCGTTTTGAAGCAAGCCACAAGGAAGCAGTTGCCATTTGGAAGCATCCGCCTTGACACGTCCTGGTTTCCCAAGACGAGTTGGACCCCTTTGATTCATTGTTCTAAACATCCCAAAAGGCGATTCCCCATCAAGACTCCCAAACGAGCTTTGAAATCTCATGGTTTGGTCCTTCCAAGTTGGGAAGGCTGACAAGGAGGCTAGGCCCTCAGACTGCTTTCTTGGCACAGTGTTTTTGTTTGCCCCCTGAGAGTGATGGATTCGCTTTGCTTATGCCGAGCTCAAGGACCTAAGAGTTCGAAGGGTAAAAAAGGACCGCGCCCGAAGTTACGAAAGGGGAGTCCACGCAATGTAAAGGTGGCCACTGGAAACGCCACTTGGAGTTCTATTTGACAACCACCATTTGGGATTGTCCTAAGATATGAGAGACCCGCAAGACTTCAACACAATTCCAAGCAGTGTACGCTCACACGATGCCCATGCATCTTGGATGGTAGCACCCGCAAAGAAACCCCATGTCCATTTTGTTCCCATGAGTTCCTTGGCTGGCTTGAGGTGAGGAGCCTTCCCATGGCCTTTGCTGCACTCTCCGATGTGCGATTCCCCGGATGGAAGTTGGGTGCCAGGGCTACGTAGTTTGACCATTTCTCCCAAAGCCGCTGGGTTTTTTGGCCGGGGGGCAACACCTGCATGCTGTTGTTCTTTTGTCTTTGTGTTTTCTCTTGCCCTTCCTTTTTTCCGGGGGGGGGGGGGTCGAAGTTGGATAGCAATCGGAAAGCAGGTTGACTTTGATGATGGTAGAAAGCAATGGAGCCAGTTCACCGATCCTTTGGGGGAAGGAGAGGTTTTGAGGGCTAGTTGTTTGCCTGCTGAACAGGACATCGATAGCATAGTAGCTGCGGGTATGGAAGCAACGCCGATGGTGAGTTGGTTGAAAAGGTTGCTTGGGCCAATGTGAAGATCTTTGAGCTTTTGCACAACTCACCAAGCCCCACTCGATCGTCCGGCAACATATGTTTGCTTCGGTTTTCCAAATTTGATAGGGCTTAACCAAAGGCCCGCAGCTCTCCAGCCTGTTCCCGTAGGTTCGGTCAAGACCTCCACGGTCAAAACGGCTGTTTTCTGCACCCAGACCACCCTCTCCAGTTGAGACGGCTTGCATGTCAAAACTGTCTGTTTCTTGTGCGACCCATTCGGTGCGTTCCCTGCGTGCACTCATCAAGCATGCATGCACGGACCGTGTGTTCTCGTCATGTTGCAACTATGCACGCTTCAACCATGTGGACCATGTGATGTTATCATGTTTATCCAAAACGCCCCAAAAAGCGTTGTCCGGTTTTGCCCAGTGTGCACAAACATGAAGCTCTCCAGGGGGACTTTGAGAGGAATGTAGTTTTCAAAATTCTTATGCTGACACTTTGCCTTGACTGATATCTCAATGCAAACTGAATCGACCATTTTCCCTTCAGAGACCCCGCAATTTGGTACATCCCCAAAGGTCTTCAGGTCCGCCCCATGTTGACGCAACCGATGTCGACAGGTCAGCCTGGCAGAGCCGGACGCCACCTTTGGCTTCCCGGAAGTGCGTGTGGGTGGGCTACCGGCAGAGGGCCCGGCCTGTTGGAGGTGTCAAAATCGAAGCCGAAAAGAGCCGGACTTCGGCTTTCGGTTTGAGTGCAACTAAGGTACCCTCGAAGAAAGCACACTGATTTGGAAGGGTTGCCTTTGGATAGCCGGATCCAGCCGTTCTTAGGATCGCTCAAGCCCTAAGTGGCAGAAAAGCATCGGACCTGCAGAAACCCTTGTGGGGCGGAGATTGGCGCTGACTCGCCAGTGTGTGACGGTGGCCATGCGAAAGCGGATCAGTGACGACAACATCAGGAGACGGATCCCGTGCGGCATGCCGGTCAGGGATTCCAGCAGCAAATCTGGATCCACTCATGGCGCTAAGTTCATGGGATCCGACTCATCCGCACCCGCTAAAATAACCTCTTCATGCGGCATAATTGGGTTATTCGAATTTATGGTTCGAGTCTTGTTTCAGGGAAACAAGGAGAGAGCTGGAGGCATCATATAGGTGGGGGGAGCTGATACTACCCAGTTACGGAGAGCCACAGCCTGCCACAGTGCCCTGTTCACCTGAGTCGCAATCTGGGTGCTTCATGGCCAACATGATTGGCAGTCTACTGGCTGTTTGCGGAGGACAAGGAAAGCCAAAACACAACAAGGCCGTCTCCCGGAATGAGTGCAACCTGATCCATGGCTGATGGAAACTTCCAGGCAGCTGGAGCCCGTTCAAATTGGTTGGACATAACGCCCCGTGCAAATGACGTCTGCCAACGGGTCCCAATGAAAAGTTCATACCCGGCGGACACCATCCGCTTGCGGCAGGAAGCTCATCACCGATGGTCAGCCGATGGACGCGCGCGAGGCAGGACTGAAAGGCGACCGACCAGAGTCCCACCCTGCCATTGTGGGTGCTTGGACCCATTTGAATTGGTCAACTTTTGTTTTTCCCTTCACAACAACCTCAAAAAGGGTACCCTCAAAAGGAGACTTCCCCTATTGGTTTTAATGGTTGGATCACCCTCCAGAACGGCTGGTGGCCATTTCCCGCGAAGTGACGCCCACCAAAGAAGCGTCCAATTCAAATTCATGACCCTTTCATCATGGCCGAGGCAAATATACAGGTCCTTGATTTCCAGTGGAAATGCTTGGACCAGATCGTGTGGAGCTTGGCAACGGCTTCTCATCCTCATTTCCACGAGGCGAATTCTCGTGAGCAACATGTATTCCAATTTGGAGCTTCTCGTGGATGGCCGAGCCCCTCCTGACACGTGTTCTCTTAGCAGAATGAGAGGACTTCTTTGACCGCAGCTGTCCTCAATCAAGTTAATCAATCAGCCAGGCTTCCAATCAAGCAATCAACCATAATCAACAAGCTCCTGTTGATTTACAGGAGCACTTTACCACCATGGGCTTAGCGTATCTTGTTCTGAAACGTTTATGGATGCCAAAACACCAGCGAAGCAGCAGAGCCCAGAACTTCGGGTCGGGGATGCCAGGCGCAGCGCATCGGCCTCGTAGACTTCGTGGGCGACGTGGAATCGGAGCGCTACAGCGCACAGGGTCTCAAAACGGGGGATCGCCACGGGCAATCTTTCGCCATACGCGTGAAATGCCGTTCTGATAGATTTCAGGATATCAGAGTTTTGCGACTCAAATCTAGGCCATGTGGAGCATTTTAAAAGGAAGCAACGGAAAGCGGACAGTGACTGATCGCTCAGGGGGGCTGGGGCGGGGGGGGGAAGGAAGGATGTTGACAGAATTCCATCGGAGAATCCAATGTGAGCCTTGGTCAAAATAAGAACTTAAACGCGAACTTTAGGATGAGGCAGCCTAACCACAAACAGCTGCGGGATCCCCTCCTTTGATTATCTACATGATGTGCTTATGGCGCCTTGGTGCTTGCCAGATTCATGTTTTGCTTGCATATTGTTGCTGCTTTCCAAGTCCTGCACCAGGACCTGCCTGCAACACACATGATGTTTTCCAGCATTTTCAATCACCTCGCCTCTTGGACGAAGTGGGCGCTCTTGCTTCACACTGGCTTGGTTCTCAGAGTCAAGGGGAGGGCTTTGAGCTCTTTTAGGTGGCCCTCC